GGCAGGGATGAACAGGCAGGCAGAGCACAGAGGATTTTGTTTTGTTTTGTTTTGTTTTGAGCACAGCGGATTTTTAGGGCAGTGAAGTGACTCTGTGTGACTCGATAATGGGGGATACATGTCGTTATACATTTGTTCAAACTCATAGAATTGTAATGTAAAGTTTGGGTGATTGTAAGTGTCAATGTAGGCTCATCACCTGTAACAAATGTACCACTCTGGTGGGGTGTGTTAGGGGAGGCTATGATGTGTCAAGGGGTATTTGGGAAATCTCTGTATTTTGCTCTCAAATCTGCTGTAAACATAAAACTGCTGTTGGAGCACCTGGGTGGCTCAGTTAGTTAAGCATCCAACTTTAGCTCAGGTTATGTTCTCACGGTTCGTGAGTTCAAGCCCCACTTTGGGCTCTCTGCTGTCAGCATGGAGCCCGCTTCTGATACTCTGTCTCCTTCTCTCTCTGATCCTCCCCCTCTTGTGTTCATTCTCTCTCTCAAAAATAAACAAATATTGGGGCACCTGGGTGGCGCAGTCGGTTAAGCGTCCGACTTCAGCCAGGTCATGATCTCGCGGTCCGTGAGTTCGAGCCCTGCGTCAGGCTCTGGGCTGATGGCTCGGAGCCTGGAGCCTGTTTCCGATTCTGTGTCTCCCTCTCTCTCTGCCCCTCCCCCGTTCGTGCTCTGTCTCTCTCTGTCCCAAAAATAAATAAACGTTGAAAAAAAATTTAAAAAAAAAACAAATATTTAAAAATTTTTTTAATTATTAAAACTGCTGTAAAACAGTCTTTTTTTTTAAAGAGGGGTGAAAGGTGCAACAAGACTTGGTACAACTATAAAGTTTACAAATTAGGAAATTATGAAAATTGCAAAAAATAATGATTGGACCTAGATGATAGATACGTGGTATTTCATTACACTCTACATGGTACGCAGTATACTACCTTCTTTACTTTGTGTTTGAAATAAAAATGTTTTTTGCAGACGTGAGTGGTTGAGCCGCAAAGGGCAAGGGCCGCACCCCTATCGGTTACCATTATTTTAACAGGAGGCTGAAGCTGGATATCCAGTCCCCTCCCATGTGTGCTGGCAGGCAGCCTGGCCCAGCAGAGGTTCCAGGAGCCCCTAAGACAGAGCCTCCTCTCTCCACAGTGCTGGGCGCTTGATCTGGCTGGAATTTCTAGCAATTTCAATTTCCCTGGGATTCCTCTCCAGCCAGCGGAGGGTTAAGCTCCTGTCAGAGAGGCTTGGGGAGGGGGTGCCCCTCTCAGTCTGAGTACCAGTATTACCACCGCTTTGCCAGGAGATGAAAGCAACCGGAGTGCCTGAGGAATTAATCATTAGCCTCCTGGCCGATCAGTGGCGAGGACACCCAGGAAATGAAAGTTCATCGGAGTCACACCCTGCAATAAGGAAACTTTATTGCTGTCCCAGTGATGGATGCCCAGTGAACACCGGCGGTAGGGTCTGTCATCCACCTGGAGCGGCTCCAGCAAGGCCTCTGGTCAACGTTTCTTTTCACTGTAGATACTCGAAATTCTACCATTAACAGCGGACTGGCCTTCAGAGAGATCTAACTCCAAGATTTTGATTTTTCTTCCCCTCAGTTGAGAAGCTAGTGAACGCAGTGGACCTTACCACCTGCACTGACAAGGTTGGATACAATCTCAGAGGGTACGTGGCCCTCCCAGAAGCCCATCCACAGACACCAGTTTAAGAACCTTGGGCGGAGTTTACTAGCTCCAAAGTTCTCATTCTTTTGAAAGGAGCACACCCAAGAGCCCTCTTTAAAATGCAAATGATCCCTGGGAAGGTTGAAAAGACTAACCAGCCTGTTTGAAAGAGTTTTTCCAAGCTTGGGCAGAGATAGCATAAGAGATTTTAATGGTGGGGTAGGGAGGCTGCACAGGGGCTCACAATTTTGCCTAGCACTGGGAAGGGAATGTAGTGAGCCAAGAGTGCCGATAGCTAACTTTACAGAGCACTTACAACAATCTTGTGAATTAAGTGCTACCAGCATCCCCATTTTATGGATGAGGAAGCCGAGACTAGAAAAGGTCAAGTGACATGCTATGCAGTTAGTGGCAGAGGGGGAATTTGAGGCCTCCATCAGCCTAAGATCAAAGGCCATCGTTTTTTGATGGAAGAGGAAACAGGCAATTCACTGAGGGCCACAGTCACTCAGTGCTCCACTTCCATCCCCCATGTGTCCCCTCCTCACTCCAATAAGCTGAGAGCCAGCAGTGCTTCACGACTGTTCCCTGGAGCTTGAAGGACTTGCTGAGAAGTCTGAAGAGAGCATCATGCTGACCTGTCTTCACTGCCCCTAATTGTTTTCTAAAATCCTTTTTATTGAATTATCAGAGTGTAATGGAAGAGTCGATGAGAGTCGCTTCAGAGTTACAAGGCCAGGGCCTGCTGGGTGGAGAAAAGCAAAGCCCTAAAGGCTCCCCAGGCTGAGCAATGGTATAAAATATGTATTTTTACATAACTGGGAGAAAAAAAAGAAACGGACAAGCCACCCCGTGGGGGAAACGCCTCTTTCCGTATTTCCATTATCTTGTGTAATGCACAGTCAGGCAGGAGCCGCAGTGGGAAAGGAAATACTGGAGCCTTTTCCCTATAAGCCTCCTGGTGGGTTAAGAGGCAGAGAGAGCCAAGATGCAGAAATCCTGGGCCGGTGCTCAGAAACCCATTAAAACCGTGGGGACAGGTGAGGAAACCCATTACAACTGAGGGGCCGGGTGGGGGAGGGGAGCTGGGCTGATTCCAAAGATCGCCTTGGTTGGCAACAATACCTCTCCTCTGGGCTGAGAAAGTAGCCTTAGTGAGCTCAGATTCACCTTTAGGTCTGCGTGAGGTATTCTAAACGGGGCCTCCCCAGTGAGGAAGGGGGACACGGGGCGATCCCTCCTAAAGAACAACCACCACACCAAACATTTACCGAGCAGTTGCTACCTGGTGCCAAGTATTCCCTAGTGATTTTCCTGCATGGCTTCCATCGACCCATTTATACAGATGAGAGCATCGAGTTGCCCAAAGTCCTACAGCTGGTGAGCGGCTGACTCCACACTGTTTTGTAGTTCTGACCGCGCTTAGGAGGGTGAAGGGAAACATAGTGTCCTTGTCAGGGTAGCCAAAGCATACTGACATGGCTGGCCTCTGGCAGTTGGACAGGGAAGCTATCTGACCTAACGTTTGCATGTCTGTTCTTTTTTTTACCCTAAAATTATTTCACTAAGGACAGAATTCTCTAGAGAAGGCAGTGGTGGCAAGACCGTGGTGTTAAGAGCCCCAATCTAGGGATCTGGAGATCTCAGGTTCTAGTCTTGGCTTTGATGTTAACTTGCTATGGGACATTGATAGTTATTTGCAGAGGTGCCTGGGTGGCTCAGTTGCTTGTGTCCAACTACGGCTCAAGTCATGATCTTGAAGTTCACGAGCCAGAGCCCTGCCTTGGGCTTTGTGCTGACAGCTCTGAGCCTGGAGCCTGCTTTGGATTCTGTCTCTCTCTCTGTCTCTCTGCCCCTCCCCGGCTCACACTTTTGTCTCTCTCTCTCAAAAATAAATAAATATTAAAAAAAAAAAAGTTATTTGCAAATAACAGGCTTGGATAATCTTTAAAGGGTCTCTTCCAGGTCAACATTAAAAGACAGATTGAGGGGCACCTGAGTGACTCACTTGGTTAGGCATCCGACTCTTGATTTTGGCTCAGGTCAGGATCTCCAGCTTTGTGAGAGCACATAGGGCTATGTGCTGACAGCTCAGAGCCTGCTTAGGATTCTCTCTCCCTCTCTCTCTGCCCCTCCAACCACTCACACTCTCTCTTTCTTTACCTCTCTCAAAATAAACATTAAAAAAAAAAAAAGAGGACAGGTTGAAAACTCCAGCTCTAGCTCCTAGACAATCTGGGGTCTACACGCGGTGAAGCTGATAGAAAGAAGGGTCCTGGAATCAGAGCACCTCCCTCACCTCCTTGCCTCCAAATGTTTATGCCTCAGTTGCTTAGCAAATGAGAATAATAAAAGCTCTTGGGCTGTTTTGGAGATGATATTAAGTGAGAGGGTCAATGTTAAACGCTTGGCATAGAGCCTGGCTCAGTACCTTTCAATGCTCTGCACCTATTGTTGCTATTGTTATCCTTATCCTTCACATCTGTATAGAGCTTTTATGGTGCAGGAAACATTGGTCTTATTTGTTTGTTTGTTTGTTTGTTTGTTTGCGAGAGAGACAGAGACAGCACGACTTGGGGAGGGGCAGAGAGAGAGAGAGGGAGAGAGAGAGAATCCCAAGCAGGCTCAGCACTGTCAGGGCAGAACCCCATGGGGGGCTGGAACTCACAAAACTGTGAGATCATGACCTGAGCCCAAACTAAGAGCCGACAGAGCCACCCAGTTGCCCCTTATTTATTTATTTTCATTTATTTATTTTTTTTTAAGTAGGCTCCATGCCCAGTGTGGGATTTGAGCGCACGACCTTGAGATCAAGATGTTCTACCGGGGGAGCCAGCCAGGCTCCCCAAAACATTGGTCTTATTAATTGGTTGGCAACCTCACAACAACATAGGGAGGATTTTGTGATTAGTATTCCCATTTGGAGGGTGGAGAAACTGAGACTTGAAAGGTAGGTCCTGCCCAGTGGATTGATTTGTACACTCACGAACCTGTGGAGATCTGCAGTTAAGAAGACAGGACCCGATAAAGAGAGAAGTCCTTTCTGCCCCCAGGTGTTAGTGAGCCACCGCGCGGCTGGGAGGGAACTTGGTGGAAACAGGAATCCTGGAGCCCCTATTCCCTCCCCGGACTAGCAATCCATCGCTGGCCAGCCGGTCACCCGGTCGGCTGGAGGCTGCGAGGCGGGGTCAGGGGCGGGCCTACCGCCCCCAGCCCGCGGGGGAAGCCGAGACCCAGCCGCGCCGCTCATTGGCTGCGGTCCGCAGGTGTACCCTCAGCCAATCAGCGCTGTGGGGGGCGGTGCCTTCCAGGCTCACCTGGCGGCCGCGACGCTGCCCGGCTCAGTGGCGTCGGGAACCGCAGAGCACCTGTGGGTTCGCGGAAGTCCTGCCGTACTCTAGCCCGGCCAAGCTCCGCGGGACCCAGCCCGACCCGACCTCTGCCCGGCCCGCCATGGGCCCTCCGTCCCGTAGCGTCTCCGCGCTCCTGCTGCTGCTACAGGTACGTCGCGTCCCTTGGTTTTGCGGGGGACGCCTTCCGGCCCCACCATCACGCGCCCGGCCCCGTTCCTCTCTCTCCTCTCGTCCCCTCTTCTTCCAAGAAAGTTTAGGTCCAGGAATGGCCTGGAAGCTGCGCCGCGCTCTGGGCTCCACGGAGGTGGGAGTGGGAGCGGGTGCGGGTGGAGAGCGCGTGGCTTTGCCCACTCCCTCGCGCAAATACTAGAGGTGGGGGGCGAGCCTCGCTGCGGCTCTGGGGACTCCGAGCTGGCGGCGGTAGAGGCTGGGGGCGGGCAATGGGGGGCGTGGGGCAGGGTGGGGGCCGGGGTACAGAAAAGGGGAGTCCCGCTGCAAGTCGGGGGAGCCAGGAGTAGTGGAGATGACCCCTGAGGTAAGGAAAGGGAAATCAACAGAAATAAAAGCACTTGCCTATAAAGAAAGGCTCGTAAACAGGTATGGGGCGCCGTGGGTTAATAAAGGGCTCAAAAGGTGTTGGGGCGCCCCTCGGTGTGAGAAACTAGACTTAGGAGTGGGAGTGTTCCCAGCATAAGGAAAGTGAAGTGGGGAACAGTAAAGTTGCCTCTAGTGAAATTAAAAAGGAGAATGCAAAGAAAGGAGTGGTTGGTCGGGAGGAGGTTGACCCAGCAGCCCCCCTCTCCCGGGAGTACCTGGGAGCTTGGCGGCAGCAAGTTTCGGAATGAAAGAGTTTGGCGTGGCTGCCTGCCCTGGGGGTTGGGGGTGAGGGTGGATCCCTCCCACAGGCCGACGCTGGGAGCAAGGGAGGGGCGGCGCGGTTGGTTTCGGTGTGGGCAGGAGGCGACCCCTCCTCGTCGGGGGGAACCCCCCTCCCCCGATCACCCCGGTTCCATACCTTTCCCCTACTCCAGGTCACATCAGGGCTCTGCCAGGAGCCCGAGCCCTGCCGCCCTGGCTTTGGCGCCGACAGCTACACGTTCACCGTGCCCCGTCGACATTTGGAGAGAGGCCGAGTCCTGGGCAGAGGTGAGGACGTACTGCTGGGGTCCCGAGCTGGGTGCGGTGGGAGTGGGAAGGGTCCGAGAAATTGCTCCCACGGCTCTGGGCTGGACTGCGCAAACCCTTTTTTCCTGGCTCAAATGGCACCCCTTTGGAATTTACACAGATGTAACGATCTAAACTTTTACTGTGGTTGAGAGAGCTATGGTATTGGTAATTATGTTGGGGGGGGGGGCATTTTTTAGAGGCCTTTAATGTGTGTCAAATTGTCCTGACCACTTGAGAGTCTGTCATTTCAGACTGCTAAAACCTGATGTGTGGGGTGAGGGGCGGCAGTAATTCCCGTTTTGCAGATGAGCAAACGGAGGCTCAGAGGGTGGAGTCCACTTGCCCCAGGTCTGCCAAGCAGGAATTTGAACTAGGACTGATTCCCAGGCCCCATTCTGCACCATCTCTGGGATGACTGAGGTGCCAAGGGTTGTGGCGTTTGCTCAAAGAGATGGAAACATTTTGATACACTTACTATTCCCCCAATGAATAATGGTTTAAAAAAAAAAAAAAAAACCAGTAGCTGTGACTCAGGAATGAAAACACACACAATGTACTTCTGGGCCTTATCACTGTGATAATCAGGATTCTAGAGTTAGCTTTATTTCACTGTTGTCCAGAAATGAGAGAGCAAGGGAAGCTTGGTTTCTCTTCTGGTTTCATTGATTCCCAGATGCTTATTTCCTACCAAACGATTTCTTCCTCTTGATTTCAGTTGATTGGGCAAGTATCATAAGTATAAAAGAGACACTTTTTAAAATGAGAAATCACCCACAATTCCCCTGAGGAAATTCACTGCATTTATTCTTCCAGTCTTTGGCCACATGAAAACTTGAGCAATCACGCTGTTGTGTGAAAATTGTTTGAATTTTGGAAGTTGTTCCAATAGTGGGCGGCATTCCCTCCCACCCACCCCCCCACCCCTACCCCCACCCCCACCCAAACAGAGAAACTGCAGCTCCATTGATTAAACATACTTGGTTTTCTGAGGCCTGCCTGTGTTGTGTGGAGCTTTCTATGAAGTGAGAAAGGAAGTGTCTGATTTTGCAGTGGGTCCACCATTAGTCGATGGTTGACAGCTTGCCCAGCCCTGTGCTGGGTAACTCAGGAATGAATTGAAGAGATATGGAGACACTCCAGCCTGCTGTTGGTATTTCACGTTCCAGCAGATTATGGAGAATGCCCCAGGACCCGCTTAGAGGGCACTGTGGGACATGGGCATTCAGGTGCCAAAGAATGTGGGTGGTGTGGGATGTTTTGATGAGTATCAGTTGGCAGTGAGGGCTGCTGGCTTCTTGGAGGAGGCAAAGTTGACCCGGCCTTGAAGATTGGGGCAGGAGTTAGAAATTGGGGGTGTGCCTGTGTATATGGAGGTGTTCCAAGACAAGCGCCGGTCACTTTGTTTTCCCGTACCAAGGCTTTTGGTAAGTCCAGATGTGAGTTAGTCTGCTTTTATCACTCCTGCACCCCTCTTCCCCAGACAAGCTCTTGGTCTGACCAAGAATATTATTGCATAATAATATAAATATTACCATTATTATTAATAGCAGCCTATTCCTTTTGAACCAGACTCTGGGGCAAGTGCTCGATTTTATCCCACTTAATATTCCCAAGAACTGGGGCGCCTAGGTGGTTCAGTCGGTTAAGCGTCTGACTTTGGCTCAAGTCATGATTCCCTAGTTTGTGGGTTTGAGCCTCCCATCCAGCTCTGTGCTGTCAGTGTGGAGCCTGCTCTCCCTCTCTGCCCCTCCCCCACTTGCACTCTTGCTCTCAAAAATAAACATTAAAAAATATGTATATCTATTCCCAAGAATCTTATGAGGGTAGGCACTGTTGTTATTTCTATTTTGCAGGGGAGGAAATTGAAACGTAAAGCAATTTAGTAATCCGTTCAGAGATCCACAGCTGGTCTTTGTCCTGTTCTCTCCCCCTCTCAATCATTTCAAAAAAAGAGGTGTTTGGAGAATTAGTGTCCATTGTGCAGTAAACGTTGTCTTCCCTGTGTGCCTGAGAGAGCAGAGGTGTTGATATAGCAGGACCCCGCGAACAGGAGGAGGTGGTGATGGAGATGGGTCACAACAGGTGGGAAGTGGAGAGAGGCCTGTGGTGGTGAGCTTGGTGGGAGAGGCAGCTTCTGAAAGCCGCCTGTGTGGCTGGGTTCAGTGTCCTTTATGTCGAAGACCCGTCCCATCAGCAGATTTGCTGACATTTCACCGTTTAGACCTTCCTCCGAGTCCAGTGTGGAATTACCCCAGGACGGAAGTGCCCTTCTGGTAAAATCACACATGTGACCTTAGAAGACTGGCTTTGTCACTTAAAAAGGCAGTTAGGATTTAGGGTGGTGGCCTCACTCTCTTTGGACCCTCCAGGGAAGTGGAAGGATGTGACATTAGCATCAGGTTTAAATATACGCTTCACGGGAGTTTGAAAATAAGGAACCTGTTACTTTTTGTCCACCGTTTGCCATAGGGTGTCACGAATAGGGTTTGACCGAACTCAGGAGACCCTGGAGTGGTTTGCTGGGGCGATTGTTGTGCTCTGTGAGATGGACGTCCCCACGGCCTTGGCCTTGAATTTATGTCTTTGGTAACTCTCCAGGTTCTAGAATAGAGAATGTTTTAAAAAACAAACAACTTTAAACCAGTTCTCTAGAGTTTGAGAATTTTTCTTTTTTCTGGCATAAACTGGTTTGAGAAACCCCGGCTATTTCATATTGCCTTCAGCTTTAAGTTGATAGAGGGGTGAGCTGCAAAAAGCAGACAGGCTTGGAAACCAATGGCTTCTTGCTTTGCTTCACCGCCTGGTTTCAGGTGTACAGGGCTTCTGTTTTGGGTTTGAGCTCTGGCTCCTTGATGGATTGACCTAGCTCACAAGCACCCACTTGTGTGGATTAAATACATCCATTTCCCCCTTTCTAAAAGATGTGCTGAAAGGTGGTAGAAACAGGGTGCAGGCCTCCTAATTAAACTGGGCTTAAAAAAAAACAAATACGGAAACCTGCTTTGGGAATCTCCTTACATCATCAGACACCCACTCCCCTGTCCCTCAAACTCACTCAGTTCATGATTACTCACATCTGTGACAAAGGTTAATGTCAAGCTCACCGGGGAAGGAGATCTGGGTCCTCCCAGGTCCTGGGCCCTGCAAGGCTGTGTAAGGAAGTCTGGCTGCTGCTCCCCCTGGGGCCTGCCTGCCGGACCTGTCCTGCCTCTGCCAGATGGTTATGGAAATCCCTGTTTGCTCTCTGGAGCTTTTTATTGGGTGAGACTTTTCTTCCGAAATGCTCACCTTGGTGTCTGTTACACATTCCCTTCCAAGTGTAACCCCAGATAAGCCAGACGCTGAAGCAATCACCTCTCACATCTCCCAGGAGCTGCCAAAATCCTAAAATCCCCGAGAGGCACCTGTCACAATTCAGACTTTGAGTTTCTACTCTGCCTCAACTCCCATCTCTTTTTAGGGCTTTAGGCCTTCAAGGAGGGGAGTGAAGTCTGTATGGCTGGTCAGGAGAGTTTGTGAGTAAGCACATCAAAGGTCCAGGTTTGTCTTTCAGCTCCTAGCTATGTGACCTTGGGTAAAACGCTTTATTTGATTGGGTCTCGGTTTCTCCACTTGTGAAATGGGGGGGGGGGGGGGTAGGAGTACTTAGCGGTTTGTTGTGAGGATTAAAAGGCATGTTTGTTTTAATTTGGCTAGCCAACAAGTAAGAGTGCCAGCACTGGGCTAGACTCTGGGGTTACAGTAATTAATAAAGCAGATCTGGGCTGAACATAAAGAAGAGAGATGATGTAAAGAAACAGGAAATATTAAATGGTGCCTCATATTCTTAGCACAGAGTAGGCACTCAAATATTATTTTGAAGAAATGAATGAATGTTTATTACCCCTCATATATTGGCTTATTTTTCCCCCTCTCAAATTCTTTGGCCTCAGGCCCGTCCTAGATCTAAATGGACCAGAAGAGTTGTCAGTTAGAACCTTCTAAGATGCACGTGAGCACTGCACGCCCAGTCTGTGCTTCTAGAAGCTGGGCGGTATACCCCATAAGTGTGTCCCAGGATTACAGCGTGCTGAGTGCTTCCTTCTGAACGCCAGAGGGCAGAGGCTGGAGCCCTCAAACCTGAATCTGGAAGGGGAAAGGCAGCCATTTTTAAGTGTTTTTCATCTTTGGTCAATTGAAAGAAATTCCTGTGGTGGCCTTTCGTCCTTTCTCTGCCTCTCTCTCTTGCTACTTCAACTTTATCTTTCGTACACTTGAGCTCATGCTTGCTGCTGTCCAGAGGGCTTTAGCCACCTTGTTTTTACACATTTCGTCTTCGCCTTCCTTCTTCTTCTCTGCATCTAATCCTCCACCCCCCCTGCCAAGGCTCTGGTGGCATATTTCCATCATTTAGAAGGTTCTTGAGTCACACTGCCTAGGTTGAAACCCAGGGAATGTCCCTTGCCACCTGAGGGGAGGTCGGCCAAGGACCTTATCCTCTAAGCCTTAGTTTCCTCATCTGTAAAGTGGGCCTAACAGTACCAGGTGCTCAATGAATATTAAATATTAAAGCCCCGAAGTATTTGGTGCCTTCTGCTTGCGTCTCTCCCATGTGTTTTACCTGTGGTTCAGAACTTTTCCCTGTGCTCCTTCCCACCCCGTAAACCAGCCAAACCAGTTTCCTCACTCTCCCCGATTCTGTGTTAAAGCAAACACTGCTCTGCAAACAGTGACGGACCAAAGTGCCCTTTGCTAGGAGAGGGAATTTGGTGACAGTCTTCTTGTTTGCCTCTGCCAGCGGACTCCGCGGTGGGGCTGCCTGTGGACCTGCTTGTGAATATTGTTTGCAGATGGAGTGGGAGGGGTGGGGCAAGGAGTAGCTGGGGGGTGGGAAAACAAGATGACCCTGAACTTGTCAGCTTCTGCCTGGTTTTTAAAATTATTTCATGGGACACCCGGCTGGCTCAATCAGTAGAGTACGGAGGTAGACTTTTGATCTC